AACATCGACCAGACTACACAGCGCAACAACCCAGAAGACAGAAATCTTCATACTCTGATGACGGAGGCAGTATGACCTCTGAAACGTTGGTTAACATCGACCAGACTACACAGCGCAACAACCCAGAAGACAGAAATCTTCATACTCATCGCCCTTATGACGGAGGCAGTATGACCTCTGAAACGTTGGTTAACATTGACCAGAGTACACAGCGCAACAACCCAGAAGACAGAAATCTTCATGTAATTCAAGTTACAGGGCACTTATTTATATAAGACGGTCTCCTCTTCTGTCAGTAGGTAATAAACAAAGACCTTTGCAATACTGTCACAAAATGGGTTTATGCTGAACCTGTTTTTGGGTGCCGGCAATGTGAAGAAATTGGCTTCTTGCCAATGTTCCAGAGAAATATGTCTCTATCATCAGGGCTGAATTAAGTCATGTCAGAAGCAGCTGCTTTATATCAGGGTAAGAGAGTGATCAGGTTAAGGAACTGACCAATCACAGCCAGGGATGACGAGGAGAGAGTTAGACCAATGGGAAAGTCATTTTTGGAGCTGAACAGAATGCCGGGACAGGAGAGAGAAGAACGGGATATACCAGCCCTTTCAGTGACCAACAGGAGGGTACAGATGATTGGCGTTGGATGTGGCGAGATGCCATGTAATCAGGGGTTGATGAAGAGTGAACCGTGGGTCAAATGTTATGTTGAGCATATTTTATGCAGTTATGTACAACTGACAGATTGAACTGTAACAAATTAATGTCTTAAGGAATACTAATTGTTGTAGACCTGATGAATGCTGCAAAAGATGTACCATGTCAAACTAAAATAGGATGTATACATTAAATGTATACCATTTGACTGTAACATTGCTCATGAACCAAAAGACAGTGGAATATAAATTAAGCACATCTCAGTGGGTTATATGATGAAGTTCATATATAATTCATGCCACTTGTGTTTCCAAATCATTCCACCTGAAACACTGAACTCACAGTAATTAAAAATGGCATCTCAACATTCAACATGGTTTATCAGCAAAATCCAAACTTCTGCACTGAATTAAAGCTGAAAAAACCAAAGGATAAGAATACTCTGTGTATATTACAGTCAACAAAAACACACTCGTAATTTTGTCATGGAGAGGTTTAATACATTAGTCTACTGTACATAACAGCAAAATTCACTTCTGAAAAATTTATGAAGGTAGAATGTCCTGATCCGAACATTAAAATGATAGCGATGATTAAGCTTTGTGTCAATGGAACTGAAAAATAACTTGGCCTTGAACCATAAACTGGATTAGAAAGATCAATAGAAAAGTTGTCTTACCATTATAATGTCCAACGGGTGTAAACCTCGTATGTCTTATAGGCGATACTTCTTTGATACTGCTACCAACACAAGATGGACAGTCTGTAGCAGTGCCATTCATATTGTGACAGTTAGCAGCATTCGAAGACACAGCCACAGATGATATTA